AAAAAATCAACCAAACAGACCTATATATATCCTTTGGACTGTGAGAATATACAATCTAATCTCTTAGAATATTTGATCATCAAAATAAAATTCACTTTCCTTTGCATGACAGGCTTTTAAAATGCTAACCACCATATCCCCAAAAGGATTTTGTAGTTAAGTCAAAAGCATGTCAGCAGTGATACATCTGTGAAATGAGGTATGCTACAGCTTTTAACATGACCGGTGTTGAGCAAGACACCCCTTGTTAGTAAGAACACACCCTGTATTCATGAATATGGCACTTTGTAACTTTTTATTTGCCGAGACACTTGAGGGTGATGACGTATTCCAGTCTATAATCCTACAATGACTTCAAACAAAAGGAATGTTGAAGTATGCCAGAACTTGGACGGGTAGGGACACAGAAGGAACCTGCTAAGTTCAACTGAAGTTTTTGGGTGATTCTGACTCTCCAACATTGTTTTTTTATTTTTTGACTTTTAAACAAATTTGGATTTTCTACTGCAGAAGCTGCATTTTATACTACTTCTAAAATTTATTGCATCCTAGATAAAGTGCTGATACTTTAGTGGACATATCTGTATTTATGTCCTGTCAAACCCTTTTAGAATTTTGTCCATTTTGATGATTTCTCAGATTGTTTCTACACTGGCACGCTTGCCCACTTTACATGGAAATGGCTCAATCTTTTTTCACCCTCTTTTTATTCTGTTCTCTATTTCTGTTGCACTTTCCTTGACACGTTGTTGCTTTACCTGGTAAGAAATACAATGGTCTAGTGGAGAATAACATACAGCTTTGTTTCCAGAATTCTTGAGATCTCAAGCAGTTAAGTTTCTCCAGCTGTCACTGGCAGGACATGTAGACTATTCCATTTCCTTCTTGGATTTTAACCCCCAGATCACAGATTTTCTAATTACACTCTGGATTATTCTTCCCTCTGTGGGCTGCTTTGAATTTGCTCATCTGTCCCATTTCTGCCTACATGACAGAATCTGTGGTGGTACTTTGCAGTTTCCTTCCATTCTCTTTGGGTATAGACTACAGAAGAAGTCACTGTGATTTTACTGTGAGTCCCCTCCTCTAAACCATTTATAAATACACTGGTGATACTGAGTCACTGAAACTCTGTTCTCTTAGAAAATACCTTTCCATGCTGGGCGTGATGGTACATGCCTTTGATCCTAGTACTTAGGAGGCAGAGGCAGGTGGATCTCTGTGAGTTCAAAGTCAGCCTGGTCTACACAGCAAGTGCCAGGCCAGCTGGGGCTACTGGAAGACCCTGTCTCTAAAAAGACCAAAAGAAAAAAAGGAAAATACCTTTCCAGCTATGTGTTATGGCTCATGCCTGTATTTCTAGCACTTAGAAAAAGATGCAGCAGAACGCCAAGAATTTAAGGCCAGCCTCTGCTATATACTAAGACCCTGCCTCAAAAAGGCAAAAAAGCAGGGCTGGAATGATGGCTCAGCAGTTAAGAGTGCTTAATGCTTTTCTTGGGTTCAGTTCCTTCCCAGCACCCACATGGTGGCTAACAGCAGTCTATAACTCCAGTTTCAGGGGATTTGATGTCCTCTTCTGGCCTCTGAAAGCACTGCACGTATGTTGTGCACTTACATACACGCAGGCAAAACACTCACACATGAAATAAAAATAAATCTTAAAAGAAAAAAAGTATAGCCGGGCGTGGTGGTGCACGCCCATGAGAGCAGCACTCAGGAGGCAGAGGCAGGCGGATCTCTGTGAGTTCAAGGCCAGCCTGGTCTATATAATGAGTTCCAGGACAGCTGGGGCTATAGGGAGACCCTGTCTCAAAAAGACCAAAAAAAAAAAAAAAAAAAGTATAAAAGGGGCTAAAGAGATACTCAGTGATTAAAAGCACTGACTGCTGTTGCAGAGGTTCAATTCTCAGCACCCACACGGTGGCTAATGACTGTCTATAACTCCAGCTCTGACCTCTGAGGGCACTGTATGAAACAGGTACACCTACCTACATGTAGGCGATATACTCATAAACATAAAATAAAAATATTAAAAAAAAAAACAAAAAAAACCCCAAAAACTATCTTTTTATTTCTTGCTTTGCCTTGTGTAGTTTTTATGAGTCCCCTTAATGTCAATGTAATTCTGAAAAATTATTTAAGGTCACTGGGTATGTGACCTAAATACCTAAAAAAAAAAGTCAGTGCTTACTGGTGGTGGGTCTGTTGTTTCATTTTTCAGTGCTAGGGATCAAGCCCAGGCCTCTTCCCCATTGAGCTGTACCCCCCATGATTCTTCCTATTTATAACTATACTTATTCACCCCAGGAACCTAAATAGATTAAAAGTACAATCTAGCTATATGGAGATGAAAAACTACCTTCTTCCAGTTTATGATGATGCCTTCAATTATCCTTTGTGGTTCAATCTAATGGCTCCTTTACCATAGAAAATGGACTTAAAAATTTATAATTCTTGGCCTCCTCTGTGATCCAGTAAATTGATTTCACTATCTAGTCCTATGGCACTTGGCTTTTTGAAGTAAAGGGTTATATTCTTTACTACTTTAAAACTTTTGGTCCATGACTCAACCTTAGGGTTTATTTCACTATATCTAATTTGCCCAAAGGTTCAGGGCATTCTGGATGTATCATTTGTTTATGTAAAAATTAAAGACATTTTATTACCTCTATTGGTATTGCCCCTGTTCCACACATTGGATCAACAATTATATCAGTAGGTTTAGGTTCACAGAGCCTATAGGGGGGAAAATGAAGTTCATGTTAAAGAGGGTCAAACAAAAGCTGAGGCTTCCACCATAATGATTCCTGAAGTTATAAGATCTCAAGGACTAGCAAGAAGGAACATTAATCCATAGTCTAAAAAGTTAATCTAGGAGTGCAACTCTGTGGTAGAGTGCTTACCTAGGCATGTGCAAGGCCTTGGGTTTCATGCTCAACACTGCAAAATAAGTTGTTTGTGTCTGGGTGTAGCAGTACACATCTGTTATTCCAGCACTCAGGAAGGGGAGGCAGGAAGATTCTATTAGTGTAAGTTTACTGGTATTAGGCATTTCACGTTCTTCTCCTTTTGCATTTAATTTTAAACATAATATTCTTGACGACTGCTTTACTTTGAACACTTATTATTTCACTGAATCCTTGTAACATCCCCATTACCAATTTTAGAGAGAAACTGATGCAAAGAAACATATTTCCTGGGACACAAAACAAGGTGACAGAATTCACGGTATTACTGTGAGTGACTCAAATGTTATCTCTTCTACAGAGTGTCCTCAGGTCACTAAGTTTCTCTTCTATCTTTTCATGTTTTGCCATAGTACTACCTCCCCCAAAGACAGGTTCTTGGGCAACCCTGTAATGCTAGTCACTGCTAATGCATTGGCCAGGAATGGACACTTGATCAAAACTATTTCACTCCATTCCTCTCTTAGTAATTTGGAATAAAGAGCTGGTAGCCCTGGGTTGTATGAACCAATCATGTGCAACTGAAGTATATGTATTTAGATGACAGGAAACCATGTGCACAGATGAACAGAAACAAGAGAACCAAGCTCTCAGGAGACAGAAAATAGCTGCCTAGGTTTCTATAATTAGTTCTACCCTTCTTGAGACATGGATTTTAGTTTTTCTGTAGGTGTGCCATGATTTCTCCTCCTCTCTCCAACTATCCTATACTTAGCATTATCATCACTTCATGTATATGTTCACCTGTCTGTGCACGTGTTTGCCTCTGTGTGTGTGTGTGTGTGTGTGAGAGAGAGAGAGAGAGAGAGAGAGAGAGAGAGAAGGTCAGACAACAACATTGGGCATCGTCCAATTGCTCTCCACCTTATTTTTATTTTTTGGTCTTTTTGAGACAGGGTCTCCCTGTAGCCCCAGCTATCCTGGAACTTACTATGTAGACCAGGCTGGCCTTGAACTCACAGAGATCTGCCCTGCCTCTGCCTCCGCTGGGATTAAAGGCATGTACCACCACGCCCAGCTTCCACCTTATATTTTTAAAGATTTATTTTATGTGCCTGTGTGTGTGCCTGGGTATCTGTATGTGCACCACATGCATACAGAAGCTGGCAGAGATCCATTAGAAGAGAGCACTGGACCCCCTGCAACCAGAGTTAAAGGTGGCTATGAGCCACCATGTGGGTACTGGGACCAAACCCAGGTCCTCTGCAAGAGCAGTATGCACTCTTAACTGCTGGGTCATGGAGAATCCAATATGAACAAACTTTTGAGTACCATGTCAAACCCATTTTGCAATCTTTAAAAAAAAAGAAAAAAAAATCTTAAAAAAAAAATTTCAGGCTGGCCTGTGCTACACAGTAACACCTTTGCTCAAAATATAATTAAAACAGGGCTGGAGAGATGGCTCAGTGGTTAAATATACTGGTTGCTTTGGCAGAGGTAGCACCCACATGGTGGCTAACAACCATCCAGTTCCAGGGATCTGACACTTATCCTCTGATTCCACAAGCATTACATGATGTATGCATTTACATACATGCAGGCAATACACTCATACACAGAAAATAAAAACAATAAATAAAATATTTAAAATATATATAATTAAAGGTCTGTTGTGGTCACTTCACATTGTAAAGATCTCTATTTCATCTGTTTCACTACACAAAAATGAAGCACTGTAAAATCGGATCTTCTAATATAACATCCTTTCACAACAGAAATATGACTATCCCATCAAAGATGCAAATGATGCAAATCATTTCACAGGAAAACTAAGAAACTCATTAATTGGTATTTCTGGACCACAAAGAGTCAATAGTGAAAACTGGGAAGGAAATAGATAACTTTTTAATTCTAACACAATTTTTTTAGAAAAATCAGTGTTTTAAAGAGAAAATTCAGTGCAAAGTGCCATAATCTGGATAGCAAGTTCTCTATTACCTGAGCATCCCATAGGCAAGAGTTGACCTAAGAGTTGTAGGTCCAAAATGTGTAATATTTCTGCGATGGAGACTCTCCTCAGTCAAAGCAATTCCAATAATGACTTCATTATCATGGATATTCAGGAGAACCTATTAGACAAAAGAAAGTTTTATAATTGTTCAAACTGCACTTATTACTAAGATTTTTTGTTTTGTTTTTAGAGAAAGGGTCACCCTATATATCTCTCTCCAGGGGCTTATACTGAGTTCAATATTGTATAACTGTATTGATTCAACAGCAAACCTAGAAATTTTATAGCCACTTTTGAAGGAGCTGTATCTTTGCTCTGGAAACTGTTATTGGGCATGATAAAGCTGTAATGATATGCTTCTTCTAAACAAAATAAAAAATAATATTTTTAAAAATGTAGGAAACATGCCGGGTGTGGTGGCGCACACCTTTAATCCCAGCACTTGGGAGGCAGAGGCAGGCGGATCTTTGTGAGTTCGAAGCCAGCCTGGTCAACATAGTGAGTTCCAGGACAGCTGGGGCTACAGGGAGAACCTGTATCAAAAAAACCAAAAAAAAAAAAAAAAGTAGGAAACAGCAAAACAAACAAACAAAAAACACCCCCAAAAGCCCTCTTATTCAGGGATGGGAAGATAACTTGAGCGTAGAGTAGTTGGTATGCAAGTATGAAGACCTGATTTCAGATCCCCAGAAGCCATATAAAAGCTGGGCATGGTTTCATGTGTCTGTAACCCGACACTGTGAGGCAGAGAAAGGCCGATCCTAGAGGCTCACTGGCCAGCCAGCCTGGCCAAAACAACAAGCTCCAAGTGAAAAATAAGGTGGATAGCAACAGAGGAAGATACCTGAAGTTGAACTCTGGGCGCCACACATGCATGCATAAGTAAACATGTCTGCACACATGCACACACATACACAAACTTTCTTACTGAGGTATATTTTACATACCTACTATGTTATGGTGCATACACTTTAATTTATTTATTTGTGGGGCACAGCTGTGGCAGTTAGAGGACAACTTGTAGGTGTCGGTTCTTTTCTTCCACCATGTGTCCTGGGGATTGAGCTCTGGTCAGCAAGCTTCATGGCAATGTTGATTCATCAAATGAGCCCAGAGGTGCATAAACTAAGCATATATTTCAGAGAGCTTTTACCTATATACATACTGTATAGATACCACCCAGACAAAGATCTAGAATATTTCTACCACCCTTTAGAAGGTGATAATGTATTTTTATGAACACATTCTGAAGGCATAGTTTTTAAAATATAAACTTTTTAAATCACCTTTTGAAATATATACTCCAAACATACATAAGTGCTATATGCCGACTTTCACAGTGATCTCTTAAATATACCCTTCACCCAATTTAACCATCTGTGCCACATCTGATCTATCAACTATTACTTTCTTTGGGTTATTTTTTTGGTCTTTTTGGGACAGGGTCTTCCTGTAGCCCCAGCTGTCCTGGACTCACTATGTGGACCAGGGTGGTCTTGAACTCACAGAGATCTGCCTGCCTCTTTCTTAGTATTTTTTTATTTTTTAGATATTTTATTTATTATTTTTATGTGTATGAGTGTATTGCTGCAGAGGTCAGAAGACAGCTTTGGATTCCCCTGGAACTGGAGTTAAGGACAGTTTGTAGCCACCATGTGGGTGCTGGGAATCGAACCTGGGTCCTCTGCAAAAGCATCAGTGCTCTTAACCACTGAGCCATCTCTCCAGCCCCTTTCTTAGTATTTTTAAATGACTCACTTAAGTAATATCTGGCATAACTATTTCTGTCATAGTTTCCCTAACATGCATATATTCCAATAAAAATGAAAATAAAATGTTCTACAATCTTCCACTTACAATTTCTTCCTGACTACCAATGGCAGCAATCAACAGGTAACACTCCTACATGCAAGGCCCTGTTGCACATTTTACACTCTTGACCTCATTTCATATGAACTCTGCTGAGTTGGGTATCATTTCTTTTGTGGATAAGGATCCTGAGGCACAGAGACATCAATTCACATGCTCAATACAAGTACCTAAACTGGGATTTAATCCCAGGCAGTGTGGCTCCAGAAATTGTCATCCTTGCTAATTTTGGGGCATCACTGTTATGGTTAGCTCATTTATTCTCATGGTAGCTGTATAAAGAAAAAGGGAATGGGGAATTGATTTGACACTTAAAAGGAAAAAGTTACAAAGAAAGTGACTTGCCCCAGATATCCCAAGTATTCCCAAAGTATCAAGTATCCTAAAAGCAACAGACATTGACTTCATAGTGAAAATGTCAACTGCTAGGGACCTGTGTAACCCATGAGAGATTTAAAGAATTCCACAGTAACCACCTGGTGGTCAACAGGAGAGTGAGCATGCTAATAGGATGCATTTGGTTTTGAGAATCTAGAAGGAAGTTTTAGAAAAAGCAATCTGGCTCTAGAGTGAGTACAAGCCTCACTTTCTGACTTGAGGTTTGAAAGTATGCCTCACTATTGTTGGTAGAATTCTACAACTAAGACACAGAGAAAGAAGTTCACTGTTTTAATTCTAGGTGAATTTTAAAATTTAAAAAATCAACATAGGGGCTGGAGAGATGGCTTAGCGGTTAAGAGCACTGACTGTCTTGCGGAGGACCTGGGTTTGATTCCCAGCACCCACATGGTGGCTACCAACTATCCTTAACTCCAGTTCCAGGGGAATCTGAAGCTCTCTTCTGACCTCTGAGGCATTGCACGGCACAGGTGCACTCACATACATGCAGACAATACACTCCTAACTCATAAAAAATAAAAAGATTTTTTTAAAAAAATCAACATAATGTAGAAAAAAGTACTAGACTAGAAATTAGAGGACTAGAAATGTAGCTCAGTAGAAGAGTGCTTGCCTACTATGTGCAAGGCCCTGGATTTGATCCCCAGCACCACATTGGGAAAAAAAAAAAAAAAAAAGTAATCAGCCTGGTGTGGTGGCTCACACCTTTAATCCCAGCACTCAGGAAGCAGAGGCAGGAGGATTGCTGAGTTCAAGGGAAGCTTGTTCTACAGAGTGAGTTCCAGGCCAGCTGGGACCACAGGGAGACCCTGTCTCAAAAAGACCAAAAAGAAAAAAGAAAAAGAGTTACCATCTTTTTGATCCTCTGCTGGGCGTGGTAACACTTGGGTTGAGAGAGAGATTGAGAGAGAACTTAAGTTTTTGATAGCTTTCATCCATTAAGTATCATACCAAATACTGTTTAATCATTGCCGTCAGTGGCATATGCCTTAAGTATATATACTATTATTGGCTCCATTTGAAACAGCAGCTCAAAGACACCATCTTGTCCAATCTTAGACAGTTACAGACTGAAAATTTCAATTTCTACTTCCCCCAATCCACAGACCAGGCTATTCTTAACCATATCCTACCAGCTCTATTGACACCATTTAATTGCTTCTGGCACTGAGTTAGTCTGTATTCTAGTTTGCTTCTCTGTTGTGATAAAAAACTGACCAAAACCAAACTGGGGAGGAAAGGGTTTATTTCATCTTACAGCTCTCAGGTTACAGTCCATCACTGAGGGAAGTGAGGGCAGGAACTCAAGCAGGAACCTGGAGGCAGGAACTGAAGCACAGACCAGGGCAGAAACTGCTTACTGGCTTGCTTCCCCCTGACTTGCTCAGCTACTTTTCTTATTACAGCCCAGTCCACCTGCCCAGGGATGTTACTGCCCACAATGGGCTGGGTCTTCCTACATCAACCAGAAATCAAGAAAAAACGCCACAGATATGTCCATAAGGCCAATCTGATGGAGAAAATTCCTTAATTGAGCTCCTTCTCCCCAGGTGTATCTAAATTGTCTCAAGTTGACAAAAAACAGCACTCTGAAAATTCTACAAATATATGACACCTTCCTTTTTTCTTGTGTGTGTCATATGTGTGGATATGTATGTGCAGGTGTGCTTGCCCATGCTGAGGCCAGAGGTTGACACTGGGTGTCTTTCCTCTAGTGCTACCTTATTGTTTGAGGTACAGTCCCATTTCAGCTGGACTGGCTAGCAAGCTCCAGAGTACTGCCTGTTTTCACCTCCCAGTGCTAGGGTTACAGATGCACACATCTACGCCCTAGTTGGATCTCAAATCAGATTCTCAAGATGGCTCAGCAAGTGCTTTACCCACTGAGCCATCATCTCCCCAGCCCCATTACAAACTTTTTGAACCATCAGTCAGAGCACACCTACCTCCACATCAAAGTTAGTCATATCAGCTTTCCACTTAAAATAATCTTGAACAGCACCCCCAAAATCTCTTGCAGCCTCATTTGAGGTAAAGCAATGTTTCTCTCCTGCTCTGTTGCATGTGACTCTAAACTTCCACACTTGTGGCTCAGTTTCTTCTCTTAAGCTTTCATCAGTCTCATCTTTGCAAGATGCCAAGACATCCCCTACCAAAGTTGATACCTCCTCTTTGATGGCTGGATTTTCATAATAGTCTAAGATATGCGAATCTGAAGCACTATTGCCAAGCTTCTTTTTACCATCTTTCTCATCTGATTCGTCTCCTTGTCCATTATCGGTCTTCTCTTTACTTGAATTCTGATTTATCTTTTTGCGTTTTGTTTTCTTCTTCTTGAAACTGGTGTTAATTTGCCATACTTTCAAAGGGTCTGACCATGGGAGTTTTTCAGCCAGTTCTTCAAAGTCCTTTAAAACTTCTTCCTGCAAAGAACAGAGAATGAAACCCATTCATTTCTCACAACTTTAATTGAACAAATAAATGCTGGCTTTCTTTATAGAGTACGCTGGTCCTTATGATAGAAGTGGTGGGGATGGAGAACCAAAGAGAGAGTAAAATAATGCCTGCAATCAAGGAAAGTCAAGTATCAATGATAAATTGGGATGCACACATTACACTGCTAAAGCATGATAGAATGGTAGATTAGAAGTATGCTTTAAGATTAAGATTTACTCTTTGAGAAACTGCCTGCAAGGGTAAATAGGTGGATGAAAAGTCGTGGAGGGAAAGAGGATGTGTGTCCTTTTGGAACTTCTGAATTTTGGGTTGTATATACTTAAGTACTTTAAAAAAAGCAAGTATATTTAAAGACAAAAATTTTAAGCAGTTAAAAAATGTTATCAGTTCAATTAAAAAAATTTTTAAATCATTTAAAAAAATATTTATTATTTTTATTTTATGTGTATGTGTGTATTGCCTGCATGTAGGTAAGTGCACCCATGTTGTGCAATGCCCTTAGAATACAGAAGAGGCTGTTGGATCCCCTGGAACTGGAGTTACGGACAGTTGTTTGCTGCCATGTGGGTGCTGGGATTAGAACCTGGGTCTTCTGTAAGAACAGTATTCTTAACTGCTGAGCCATCTCTCCAGCCTCCTAAATCTTTATTTTTTTTTAAAAAAGATAAATTCTGGGCTTGCCAGTGCATGCTTTTAATCCCAGCACTCAGGAGGCAGAGGCTCCCCCAGAAGTATAGGGTAGAAAGGACCTTACCTGTGTTGACCTCTGCTGTAAGCCACACACCTAGACCAGTAGTGGCATACAAAAGGTGGTTAATATTTAGCTCCTGGGCTGGGCCTGCGGGTACAGGCATGTAATCCAAAGTACTAAGGAAGCTAAGGCAAGAAGGACTGCAAGTTCGGTCCTGCCTGAGCTACAGAGTAGGTTCAAAGCAACCTGGGTAACTTATACCTTATCTCAAAAGAAAAAGCAAAAGAGGGCCAGGGATATAGTTTCGTGGTTCAGTGCACGAAGTCCAAAGTTCAATCTCTAGTACTATGAAAAAGTAAACAGACAGCTAGCTGCTGGATAAAATGTGATGAAATGTTAAGATGGCAAGTACAGAGGATTGTTATCTAACACTACAGGCACTAACCACATGTACTATGGAAATGTAGATGATTTAAAACTTTCGAAAATTAAAACAGACACTTCAGCCACATTTTACACACTAATATCTAGCATTTAACATGCTACATAAATTCACTTTTTTCTATCTACAGTTCATTAACAAGAGTTAAGTGTGCTATGCTTTGTGAATAACCCCAGTCTCTGATCCCTTCAGGGTCGGAGTAAAGATTAAAACAACTCATTCAATGGTATGGAAATTATACCTCAATAAAGCAATTTTAAAAAGGAGAAAGAGGAAAAGAACTCATTTATCTCAAGTCATGTGTCAGGGAGATGGTCTGGAACACCCTTATGGCCTCTCCCATAAGAACCTCTTATAAAAAGGCAGGTCCAAGAGGAATTGCCTCATTCAAAAATGAGTGATTTCAAAACTTACCAGCATATTACATGAAAGTAATAAAAGGAAAAAAAAGTAAGCAAAAGGGAACAGGGGAAGGAACCATGAGCAGGAAAGAGCAGACAAAAACTAATGACCAGAAAACTTGCCATGCAGAATGGTGTTAAGAACTATGATTTTTAAAAAGAAAAACAATGATATTAAAAAAAATAGTGACAAAACATCTTGTAAATAAAATTTCAAAGCAGAGAAATAAAAACAAAAATAAAATGAGGTGAATCACCAGGAAAGGGAATAGGAGTTTAAAGAGTTCAAAGGAAATATGGACTAAAAAAATAAAAGCAGGGAGCTAGGTAGAAGGTGCAGGTGGTAAAGCACAGCTTACACAAGCATGAGTTCAATCCCAACACCCATGTAAAAAAGCCAGGTGTGGAATGTGCACTGAGGCTTTCTGGCCAGCCAGTCTAGGGAAAATCAGTGAGCTTCAGGTTCAGTGAGAGGCCCTGTTTCAAAACCCAAGGTGGAGAGGGACAGAGAAGAGACCCAGTTTGGACCTTAGGCCACCACATGAGCTACACACACACACACACACACACACACACACACACACACACACACACACACACACACACACACACACACACAAAACAGCAAACACCTGATTGAAAATAGCATTTATAGGATCCTGCTGAAAAAAAAAAAAGTAAAGGATGTAGAGAAAAGCAACGCAAATAACATGGCAACGAGCAAAAGGACAAATGGAACTGAAGAGAAAATGATAAATACAAAAAATAGTTGAAATTCCCACATACTGTTCTCCTAAAAAAGGGATTTAAGGGGCTGGAGAGATGGCTCAGCAGTTAAGAGCACTGACTGCTCTTGCAGAGGACCCAGGTTCAATTCCCAGCACCCACATGGCAGCTACGAACCATCCTTAACTCCAGTTCCAGTTCCAGGGGAATCCAAAACTCTCTTCTGACCTCTGTGGCACTGCATGACATGGGTGCAGTCACATACATGCAGGCAATACACTTATACACATTAAAAAAAAAAGGGATTTTAAAATAAAACCAATTTTTCTTTCTATATAATTCAAGAAATTTTCCAGAAATGTAAGTGGGTTGATAGGTTCTGAATTACAAGATTATCTGGAATTATCAGAAACTATTAACAATAAGAGCTATTCTAGTAAACTATTTTTTGGTCTTTTGGAGACAGGGTGTCCCTGTAGCCCCAGCTGGCCTGGAATTTACTATGTAGACCAGACTGACCTTGAACTCACAGAGATCCACCTGCCTCTGCCTCCTAAGTGCAGGGACTAAAGGTGTATGCCACCACGCCTGGCTCAAACTTGACTTCAAAACTGGGGTTTTTTTTTTTTTTTGATCATCAAAAAAAATAAGAAAGCAACAAAAGGGGAAAATATATCAGGATGAACTCAAGATTCTCCATGTCAACACTGATTGCTAGCAGAGAATGAACATGGATTATGATGCTCTTTATGAAAGGAGGTCTAACTTTTTTTTAATTTATTTTTATTTTATGCGTATGAGTGTATTGCCTATATGTATGTAAGTGCACCATGTTGTACAATGCTCACAGAGGTCAGAAGAGGGCATTGGATCCCCCGGAACTGGAGTTAGGAATGATTTTTAGCTACCATGTGGGTGCTGGGAACTGAACCTGGGTACTCTGCAAGAGCGGCCAGTGTTCTTAACCACTGAGCCATCCCTCCAGTCCCTAGAAGTCTAATTTTTTATACTCTATATTAACCAAACAGAAATGTGAAATATAAACGTTTCTGGACTCATGCTATTAAAAGATAAAAAGAAAATCCAGCCAGGCGTGGTGGTGCACACCTTTAATCCCAGCACTTGGGAGGCAGAGGCAGGCGGATCTCTGTGAGTTCAAGGCCAGCCTGGTCTACATACTGAGTTCCAGGACAGCTGGGGCTACAGGGAGACCCTGTCTCAAAAAGACCAAAAAAGAAAACCCAGCCAGGAACAAAGCTCATGTCTGTGATCTGGAGGATTACCGCAAATTCAAGGCTAGCCTGGGCTACACTACAAACCCTTATCTTCAAAACAAAACAGAAAAGGTTAATAAGAACACCTATCTAGCTGTAAGATTTAAAAAACAAATGTTTGGATTATGGCTATAAAATAAAAGGTAAGCATTATGATCATCATGTAGGTGGAAAGGAGAGGTACAAGACAGGAAGTAATTTAAGCATGCTGCCATCCTTATCTCTTAAGCTTACAGGTCAAAATCAAGAAGTAAAAGCTGACAAAGGGTATTTAAACACATAAAGGCCATGACCAAGATAATGAATAAAACTGGAAGGCAGAGCGGAGATGTGGAAAACAGGCCAATTTCGTCCGTGATCTTAGCATGGATTTAAAAGAATAAATTAGGTAGATAACATCAATTTGTATTTATAGTTTTAAAGATTTATTTTTAATTATGTGTATGTCTGTGTTTGTGTGTGAGTACATCTACATGACTGCAGTTGTCATCCGAGGCCAGAGGCATCAGATTTTCCTGAAGTTGGAATTAAAAGGTACTGGTGAGCCACCTAATATGGGTGATGGAACTCAAACTCGAGTATTCTGCAAAACCAGTATGTGGTCAATTTTTTTTTTTTTTTACTTTTTGAGATAGGGTCTTCTTATAGCCCCAGCTGGCCTAGAACTCACTATGTAGACCAGGCTGGCCTTGAACTCAGAGATCCGCCTGCCTCTGCCTCCTGAGTTCTGGGACTAAAGGTGTGTGCCACCACACCCCGCCTAGTACATGGTCTTAACAGTTGAGCCATCCCTTTAGTCCTCTTCAAGATGTATTTATAAAGGTAAACAGCTAGGCTCCAAATATAAATCTTCTAAATCAGAAAACATAGCACATAAAAAAAACGTATTACATAAAAAGATTTTTTTTAAAGAAAAAGAATGGGCAATATAAACACAACGAAACTAAAAACACCCCCCCCCAATCATTAAAACTAAGGAACTCAAAATTTAAGACTGAGCGTTTCTGTTGTATAAATAAAGATCAATACGATAAGACATAAAAAAATGATCCTCAGATTTTGTACAAAGATGCCTACAGCACAGTGATTTTACCACTACCAGAGCAAACCAATATGAAAAAAAACCCATGTTTTAAATAAAGTGGGTCTCCTTATATTATAACACAGTCACAGAACAGAATCACACAGCCAACTTTGGCACCAACCCCAGCATGATCTCTAAGATACCAGGAAAGATCAAACAACAGTGCTCAACTGTAAGTAAGCAATGGAATATATATAATTCATAAAATACCTGTAGAAGAATAATAAAAAATTAACAATATTTGCCTAGGAACTATATGGCCTGGGGACTGAGGAGCAAAGTCATACTTTTTCACTGTGTATTCTTTTGTCTTCATGCCTTTGCTCTAAGTACATGCATCAATTAGCTTTTTTAAAGCGGGAACTAACAATGTTATCAGAATCTTTTTTTGAGACAGGATCTCCCTGTAGCCCCAGCTGGCCAGGACCCACTATGTAGACGAGGCTGACCTTGAACTCACAGAGATCTGCCTGACTCTGTATCTCAAGTGCTAGGATTAAAGGCATATACCACCACAACAGGCTTCAGAACTTTTAAACATAAACTCATCAGAATGCTTAATTAAACTAACATGCTTTGTTTGTTTTTTGAGACAAGATCTCCTATTTAGCTCAAGTTGGACTGGAACTCACTACATAGGCCAAGCTGGTTTATTAACCCCTAATCTCTCTGCTCCAGGAGTGCTGGAATTACAGATATATGCTGCCATGCCTGGGCAAATATAAGTTTTTATAAAACAAGAGCACACATACGATGCCATAAACTCAATAGTCAATAGAATGAAAGCTAGAAGTAAATGTTTAAAATGAGGTTTTGAGGCTAGGCATGGCACACAACTTTAATCCCAGCACAAAGGAGGTAGAGGCAGACAATTCTCTGTGAGCTTGGGGCCAGCCTGGTCTACACAGCAAGTTCCAGGCTGGCTGGGAATATAGGGAGACCCTGTCTCAAAAGAATAAATACATAAACAAAAACAAGCAAATAAGTAAATATTAGAATGAGGTTTTGGGGGCCAGAGAGATAGCTCCAAGGAAACATAGGTGCTTGCCACCAAGCCTGACCCCGATGACCTTGATCTTAAGCTCCAGGATCCATATGGTGGAAGGAGAGATCTGACTCCCGAGAGAGAGAGAGAGAGAGAGAGAGAGAGAGAGAGAGAGAGAGAGAGAGAGAGAGAGAGAGAGAGAGAGAGAGGGAGAGGAGAGAGAGAGAGAGAGAGAGAGACAGAGAGAGAGACAGAGAGAGAGAGAAGAGAGAGAGAATGAATTTAGGGCTGGAGATGTAGCTCGGTCAATAGGGTGCTTGCCTAGGACACATGAAGCCATGGGTCTGATTCCTAGCACCTTATAGAACAGGCATGGTAGAACATGCCTGTATTCCCAACACTCAGGAGATGCAGGGAGATCAGAAAAGATCAGCGTCATCCTCAGCTACATAACAAGTCTGTCCTAGTAAGGACAGCACAAAGAGAAAGGGGAAAAAAAACTCTGAAAGATTTCAATATTAGTGTACTGATGTTCAAAGTTACTTTTGTGCATCATGAAATTTTAGTTATTTTCAGTGTAGATTCTTCAGAGCTAGTTTTATTTTTGTAGGCTGTGTGTTCATACTAGTTTTCTTACTGTTGTTTGGGGATTTTTATAGGACTTAACTCACGGCTTCATACATGCTAGGAAAGTGCTCTATCGTTAAACCATACCTCCAGCTCTCAGATTAGTTTGACTGATTTGAAGATGTTATGGATATCAACCGGTGGAAAATTAATAAAGACCAGAGAATCAGACAGCATACCAGTTTATTTTAGGGAAGATTAATTGTAAGATAGACATTAACAATGATAGAAAAAGTTTTAAACACTGGATTCTGGAAATCTGGCCAACAAGAATGTTAAAAAAAAAACTTAAAAGTGTTACTGTGCTCTATTTTCAACCTTCAGATTAAATAGTAGGTGAATATTTAGGACTCAGGTGATAAATATATATCGGAGACAAAGCTGTTGTCTTAACTACTGAAGGAGTATTTAAATATTGCTCTGACTTCATTTCAAAAAATGAGGTTAGAACGGGGCAAAATCAAAATGGTAAGGGAATGTTATTTGTGCCCTTGTTATTTCATTCACACGCCGGAACTAATTCTACTTTGGAATTATACATACCTATCAGCCAAGCTAATCTAAGATTTACAGTCAATTTTTTCCCCTATAGACTTTAGTATTTATCAAAACTGACTTTTAAAAGCAACATTTAGGATAGGTTGTCAAGAGATGGGATTTCAATGAAAAAGCTGGCCCATTCGGGGCGTGGTGGCGCACGCCTTTAATCCCAGCACTCAGGAGGCAGAGGCAGGCGGATCTTTGTGAGTTGGAGGCCAGCCTGGTCTACATATCAAGTTCCAGGACAGCTGGGGCTACAGGAGACCCTGTCTCAAAAAGACAAAAAGAAAAAAAAAAAGAAAGCTGGTCATGATAAAGATAGGATCAGAGGGAGGAGGTCAGTGGTAGATCACATGTTCAACACATTCAAGGTCCCAGTTTTATCTCAATATTATAAATAAACAAACCAACCAGAATTCGAATAGGCAGGTGGTGAAAAGCAGACAAAAATTTCTTAGAGAAAGATGACTGAAAATCCGTTGTCATGTCATAGCTCACCTTTGTATTTTTGAACTGGTAATCTTTAAACTCCTGAACAACCACAAACAAGTTATCAACTGATCTCAAACAATGAACCTGGGGAGGAAAACAAATGTTAGGAACAACCATTTGAGAACACAAGCTATCCACAGTTAAATATATATGTGTAAAAATAATTAGGTATAAAAAACTGTCTTTTTTTGAGATATGGCCAGACTGTTACTCTGGCTTGCCTCAAACTCACAATTCCCCTGACTTGGCTTTCCCAATACTAGTATTATAGGCATATGGTATCATTCCTAACTAGATATAACAAAGTACCCTCTATCTGTATTTTTTATTTTTTGGCCTGGAACTCACTATATAGACCAGGCTGGGCTTGATCTCAGAGATCTGCCTGCATTTGCCTCCAAGTGCTGGGATTAAAGGCGTGCACCACCATGGGCAGCCTATATTTTCTATTTAAAAAATTTCCCATCTCCCTAGTGTCCCTTTTCTTTGGTTCGCCTTCAGTTCCTGTTTTTCCCTACAGGAAGGGCCAGAGAGAGTTTCAAGTGTCATGTGGGCAACACTGATTTAAACAAGGGAAAATGGAAACAATCAAGTGGAGCTCTACTGTTCTTTTCTCATGGTTTTCTGTGGTACAAAGAGCATGGGGTTTGAATGCTGGACATGGTAGTACATGCCTGTAATGCAGCACTCTGGGGTTATAGCATGGGGAATCAGGAGTTTAAGTTCATCCTCAGTTTTGTAGCGAACTAGAAACTAAACGGGGCTACATGAGACCCTCTTTCAAAACAAAAACAAATACATGGGGTTTGAGCACCAGTTCTGTAATGAGTGGATGACCATAGATAAATTACTTATTCTTCTTAAATCTAATTAATAATGATGACAGTAATAGTGCCTATCTTCACAAAAGTGCTGAGAGTGTTAATGAAATACTGCTTATCATTTGTCCCACAGATACTTCCTGGGTACCTACTATGTGCTATATGCTATAAGACTGGGGTATACTAGCGAAACAAAAACCTAAAAAACTGCAGACAATATTCACTTGGGTAATAATAAGAAATCTCATAGCTTTTGTTATAATGGGGTGGCAGTTTGCAAACTTCACCCACAATAATTCATAATTACTGCTGAGCAAGAATGTTTTTGACACAGACAAGAAAGAAAACCTCTGGTTCTTTTCTTTTTTTTTTTTTTTAATACTTGCCAATCTTTGGCTAGGTCCACAGACCAGCCTGATCTAGGTACTTCCTTAATTGAGGCTTCTCTAAAATGACTCTAGGCTGTGTGAAGTTGATGGCTAATGCTAACACCAACACCCACTCTTGAAGCCAGTGCTTGCTGTTTTTTTTTTTTTTTTTTTTTTTTTTTTTTTTTTTTTTCTTTGGACCTCTGGTTCTTTTCTTTTTTTTTTTTTTTTTTTTAATACTTGCCAATCTTTGGCTAGATGCTAAAGTAAATAAAAGTGTAGCAGATACTCAGAATCTTTTCTTAAATCATACCAGATTCATTTTGGTGATTTCAATCATCAGGAAATGTTACAATCATTTCTAAAACATAGTAAACTGAAGTTAAAAGGTACTAAACTAAATGCACCTTACAAAGACATTAGAAATACAAATACAGTAAACTAAAATGAAACAGTTAATTTCACAAATCAGCATTTAAAAGAAAAAAATGCTGCAATACTTTGCAATCACTTGATTTGGAGTTGAGCAAAGAAAAAGATGCCGGAGGGGGGTCTATATACTAGAAAGTAATTATAAAATAACCAATTTTAGAAAATTATGTTAAATACTATTTCATTCAAACCTGAGCCAGACTTTCCACTGCAATGTCAAAATATATCTTGCCCCGATCTTTGCTGATTCTGCAAGATGACCCCAATTTCTCTCTCACTTCATCTGCAGCTGTTTGCTCAAAGCCAGTGGGCACAGTGGCTCCAATTGTGACACAGAGATGCTCAGATTTCTCTTTACTTGAATTCTGATTTATCTTTTTGCGTTTTGTTTTCTTCTTCTTGAAACTGGTGTTAATTTGCCATACTTTCAAAGGGTCTGACCATGGGAGTTTTTCAGCCAGTTCTTCAAAGTCCTTTAAAACTTCTTCCTTTGTATTTTGGAACTGGTAATCTTTAAACTCCTGAACAACCACAATTAATTTATCAGCTGATCTCAGACAATGAACCTGAGCCAGATTTCCCACAGCAATGTCAAAATATCTTGCCCCGATCTTTGCTGATTCTGTCAAAATATCTTGCCTCGATCTTTGCTGATTCTGCAGATGACCCCAATTTCTCTCTCACTTCATCTGCAGCTGTTTGCTCAAAGCCAGTGGGCACAGTGGCTCCAATTGTGATGCAGAGATGCTCAGATTCACTTCCGACATCACTTTCTATCTCTCGCTGAGATCTCTCATTCTCGTGAAGGTTCACATCCAGGAGTTGGTCAGCAGCCTCTTGAGTGTTTGACATGATGGTAATGTTTCTAAAAGCCCTAACACGGTCCCTTTAAAAGCAATACAAAAAAGAAAAAGAAATGAGGCCCAAACTATCATTTCATATTTCAAAATAATAAAACATCTGCTTTGTCGAACAAGAGCAAGGCAACATAATTGATATAGTCATATTCAGTCAACACACCTAAAAAAGTATGCAACAAAGTTAGGGCAATTGAGTAAACTGTAGATTGTGAAATTTAAAAAAAAAAAAAGGTACCATGAAAGAAAAGAAAAATGAGAGTATTTCTACAGTGTACAGTGTTTGGTTTGGGGTCATCTGTGTTGATAAATGCAATCTCAGCTACAGTAGCTAGCAATATAGAGACTGCTCCCTCGAACTGAAATTATGTATTATCTTGCCCTTTGAGCCAGCAGTTGAGAACATGGGGCTCTGGAGTTTGAATTCTTGCCTCACCCCGCCTCCCCAGGTTGAATGACCCTAAAATAAGTTAATTCTCCCTAGCCTCAAACTGGGAAAGAAACAATTTCTCTTTCCAAAAGTTGGAAGATTTAAATGAGAGTAACGGAGCTCTGGATTAATGATTAAAACGTTTTAATAAGATATCAATTTTCCTTCTTCTTGTGAAGCTAGCAGTGAATCTAAGAAATTCCCGAGCGTTGGAGAGAAGGTGCACTCTGTTAACAGAACTTTTTGCTCTTCCAGAGGACCTGGGTTTCAGTTCCCAGCACCCACGTGGCAGCTAACAAGCATCCCTAAATACAGTTCCAGGGGATCCAATCCCGTCTTCTGACCTTTACTACATGCATTTACATACCTGCATACAAAACACTCACACATAAAAACCAATCAAAAAATTAAAAAAGATTCGCGAATTTAAGAAAGATGAATTCAACATTCACTATCTAATAACTACATACAGTTGAAAGCTTGCTACATGCTTGACTCTGGGATCCACTGATGGGCATCAAGGGAGATCGTGGAAATATCTGATTATTAAAACAAAGTTCCTGTATATGAGCATCTGTGTGTGTCGAGGGGTTAAGGAGATGGAGAATCAATAACCTCCCTCAGGTTTTCGAAAGGCTTAGGGAGCCCCTTCCCTGTCCCTGTGCTGTGCCGAGGACCGGCAACAGCGGCGAACACTGTCACTCTGTCTGACGCCGGCAAAGGCCAGGGAGTTGATCGTGGCAGGCTGGCCAGATCCCGTGTCCATTCCACCCGCGAAGCCCGCGGAGAAGGCCGGGACCAGCTTCGGACAGCCGCCGCGCCGGCCTTCGTCCAGCCACCACCGCTGCCCTTCCGCCCAGGCCCAACCAGCGACCCACGCCCGGCCACTCCCACCGCTGCCAGTTACCCGCTGCCAACGCAGACCCTTCCAGCGGCCGCACCAGCAGCCCCACGCGATCGGGTCACGCCGCCGGAAGTAGCTTTGCTGCCCCCGGAAGCGGAAGTCAAGTCCTCGGTGTCCCAGCAGCTCTGGTCCTAGGGGCGGGCTCCCGGCCAAGGTCGTGATAGAGGAGTGTGTGCAAAACGCTGCCTGCGGTTGGCTGCAAAGCTGGACCTCAGGAGCCTCAGCCAGCCCTGGCGGCGTGGGTGGGAGGCCCGGCCGAAGCCTTGCCTCAATTTTGAACTGATAGTACCTGATTCTCCTTTTAAAGTCGGAAAAACTGAGTCCCAGAGGGAGTGTCTCTCGTCATGCATGACAATTTAGAGACAGACCTGGAACTTGAGCCCAGGTGTGTGGCTCCAGCATTCTTGAAGTCTTAACCCCTTTGCCTGTTGCTGGTTCTTTTTTTTTTGGTAAGAAGACAAATTTTATTTGTTTTATGTATACGAGTGTTTTGTCTGTAAGTGCACCAAATGCCTCCGGTGCTGGATCCCCTGGAACTGGAATTCAGAGGGTTGTTGGCCACCACGTGGATACTGGGAAGTGAGCCCAGGTTCTTTGAAAGAGCAGCCAATCCTCTTAACCGCTGAGCCATGTCTCCAGTCCCAAGACAAAGTTACCGAGTACACTACCGGGGACCAGTAGACTGAGTAACTGCTAGAATAAAGCCTGCAGCCTACTCTGGTTTTTGTATTGCAGTTTTATGTGGGTAGCAAGTGCCTTTACCAGCTGAACCATCTTGTCAGTCCTAAAGGTAACATTTTAAAAAGGAAACATTAAAAAAAGACAACCCGGGCGGGGCGTGGTGGCGCACGCCTTTAATCCCAGCACTCGGGAGACAGAGGCAGGCTGATCTCTGTGAGTTCAAGGCCAGCCTGGTCTACATAGTGAGTTCCAGGACAGCTGGGGCCACAGGGAGACCCTGTCTCAAAAAGGCCAAAAAAAAGAGACAACCCAATTATTTGAAAAGGAGAGATGTCAGTGCTGGTAGCAACTGAGGTACAGGGCCAAACTGTCACCTCAGCAGCCTGAGGAGTTCCCTCCTTAATTTTTTAGGGACATTGAGTCAGGTAAAACCAGAGCCTTGACTTGGATGCAGAAAAGTGTTGCAGAACCAGCCAGTATGAAGCAGAGTTGGAATTTATTAAAAACAGGACTGGGACTGGAGAGATGACTTAGCCAGTAAGAGCGCTGGCTGCATTTGCAGAGGACCATGATTCAATTCCCAGTACCCACATGGCAGCTCACAACCATCTGTAACTCCAGTTACAGGGTCTGGCACCTTTTGGTGCACATGGGCACTGTGTACTTACATACAGGCAGCAAAACATTTATACACATAAAAATAAAATAAATGATTTGAAAACAGATCAGCCCGGCAAGATGGCTCAGCATGCCTGACCACCTGATTTCCATCCCTGGGACCCACATAGTAAAAGGAGAGAACTGATTCCTGCAGGTTTTCCTCTGACCTCATGCCTGTTGTGACATGTACACCCAAACACATGAACACATGCATAGATAAGTGGTTAGAAAAAACAAATAGAGCACAGAGTGTGATGTCAAGCGCCTTTAATCCCAGCCCTTGGGAGGCAGAGGCAGGTGGATCTCTGCGAGATTGAGGCTATCCTGGTTCACCTCATGACTTCCTGGTGGGGCCATGACTAGGGAGACCCTGTCAAAAAACAAACAAACAAACAAAAAAAACCCACCTAAATAAATAAATAGGCACTCAGAGAAAGGATAAAGCACACCCAAGAGCATGGGTGTGGGCTTCTGGAAGAGTAGCACACTTTATTAAAAGATAGGTATTTGGGGTCTTTTTTAAAAAAATATTTTTATTTTATGTGTATGAGTGTATTGCCTGCATGTGTGTGAGTGCACCTGTGTTGTGCAATGTGCAGTGCTGCGGAGGTCAGAAGAGGGCTTCAGATTCCCCTGGAACTGGAGTTAAGGGCGGTTCCTAGCTGCCATGTGGGTGCTGGGAATTGAGCCCGGGTCCTCTGCAAGAGCAGTTAGTGCTCTTAACCGCTGAGCCATCTCTCCAGCCCCTTGGGGGACTTTTTGTCTTCATAAATATGTATGAGTGTTTTGCCTGCACGCATGTAAGTGCACCATGTGCATGCAGTGCCCACAGAGGCCAGGAGAGGACATCAAGTCCCCTAGAACTGGAGTTAGCTGGACAGTTGTTAGCTGCTATGTGGATACTGGGAACTAAACCCAGGCCCTCTGCAAGAGCAGCCAGCACTCCTAACTGCCAAGCTATCTTTCCAGCTCTGAAAGACAGTTTTAACATAGCTTTCAAGCATAGGGGTTAAGAGAAATAGGCACAACTAGGGAAAGAATAAGACTCAAGTGTGGGTACCAGCTTTTCAAGGTAGAGGCACAAGTATCTTAGCATTAGTTGTAGACTGTTTTGATTGCTCTCAAGATGCATTTTAAAGAGTTTCTAATAAAGGATTGGATTTTTCCCCCTTTTTCATAAGTGAGATTATAAGATGCCTCAGAAGTGCTTTGAATGGGATTATAATCTGATAAAATAAAACCAGAAGCCATTAGGGTTATGCAAGGGGGTTAGGAGATGTCCTTTATTGTAAATGGGGTTTCTGATGGGAGTACTAGAAAATTATAGCGGAAAGGAGAAAGGCCTTTAGCAGTTGTTAATTGTTTGGGAATTTTTTATTCTCAGATGATGAGAGGCTTCCTTTCCTACCCAGGTTCTCATAATTTCCCCCGTCTTTCCTGCTCACGGAGGACTGAATTGGAGCTTTCTCCAAAAACACAACTGGCCAGTAAGTATATGAAATAGTGCTCAATATTACTATTCATTAGGGAAATACAAATTAACACTACATGGTACCTATTCAAATGACTAAATTTGAAAAGCAAGTGCCAGCTCCCAAGTTCAGTGGAGACAGAGCAATGAAACAGTGGTATATTGCTTGTGGGAATGCAAAATGTCACAGCTGCACTGGCATTCAGTTTAATCTTTCTCAAAATATATAATAACCATCACATTACCCAGCAGTTCCATGACTAGAAAAATATTCAGAAGTGGAAACACGTTCAAGTAAAAAGTTATATACACGTATGCCAACAGCATTATTCATATAACCCCAAAGTGGTAACAACCCAAATACCCACATAATGATGAAAAAAACCAATGTGTTCTATCCATACAACGGAATAGTATTCAGTCACAGAAAGCATTTAGCTTATTATTTTGTGGTGTTGAGAATCAAGCCCATTGTTTTGTATGTACTAGGTAAGCACTCTACCACCGAGTTACCTCCCTACTCGCTTGTGAAGTACAGATGCATGTGACAGTATGAATGAACCTTGAAGAAATGTTAAATAAAAGAAGCCAGATGCAAAAGACCACATTTAAGCTGGGAGTGTAGCTCAGTGATATGCTTTCTAGCATGTGAGAGGTCATACACACATAGAAAACTACATACATGAGTCCATTGATGTGCAATATCCAGAAAAGGCAAATATATAGAGTCAGGAAGCAGATTAGTATTGTTTAGGGTTTTGAGGAATTGGAAGAGTTAGGTAAAGGTTGTGGGCTTTTGAAAGGGTGATGAGAATGTTCTGCAATTAGATAGCAGTGATAGTTACACACTGAATATACCAAGAAACACTGAGTTATACACTTTAATAAAATAGCAAGTTTTCTGAGAATTTTATCCAGCAAAAGAAATAGGAAGCTTTGGTCTTATGGAAATTCATCTATAGGTTCTTCATCTGCAACATCATACTTCTAGAAGTGTTAGGAGACTTAAATGAGACTAACACATTGCCGGTCATGTGATAAAGTAGATAGTTTAGCCTTTCCAAAGGTTTTTACAGAAAATACTGTCCTTAAGCAGGGGCTGGAGAGATGCTCAGCAAGTAGGGGTGCCTGCTGCCAAGCCTAATAAACTGACTTTGATCCTTTGGACCCATATGGTAGGTAGAACGAACCAGTTGTAGAGTGGTAGCATACATGTGCCCACACACATGCACATACACAGGCACACACAAAAAAAATAGCAATGAAAAAGTTAAAAAATAAGAATGAAAGGGGATGGAGAGATGGTTCAGCAGTTAAGAGCACTGGCTGCTCTTGCAGAGGACCTGGGTTCAATTCCCAACACCCACATTGTGGTTAACAATTGTTCTTAACTCCAGTCCCAGGGGATCTGATGCCCTCTTCTGATGTCCATGGGCAGTGCATGACACGGGTGCACTTACATACATGCAAGCAATACATTCATACATATAAAATAAAAATATTTTATTTTTAAAAGAATGAAACCAAGACAAAGTCATTAAATTCTCGTCAGACACTATTTTCTGTAAAAGACTTGTTTTATGTTATTTTTATTTTTCTAAAATTTTATTTACTTACTTATTTTTACCTCTGATTATAAAAGGCTTTAACAGGCTCTGAATCTGCAGTCCACTCTCTTGTTGTTAAAGATAAATGGCCAGGGGCTGGAGCAATGGTTCAGTGGTTAAAGGAATTGCTGTTCTTGCAAAGGACCTGGAATTCAGCTCCCAGCAACTACATGGTAGCTAACAACCACCTGTAACTCCAGTTCCAAAGGATTAGACACACTGTTTTGACCCCTGCAGGCACCTGGCATACATGTGATGCACATAAACAGATCCATAGAAGCACTCGAACATAAAATAAATCTTTAAAAACAAAGATAAATGACCAAGTCTTAGAGACAATCTAGCACTAAAAGAGATCTTGACATAATGAAGATTAAGACACTGAAAAGGAAATATTCTCTTGGTCTGCTTTAGTGCCATCTAATGAATATGCAATATATACTTTATACTACCTAAAATCACATCCCTTAAACAGGCCTCACACCTGTGAGAAGAATTGTTCTGAGGTGTATTATCCACCAGTGGTAGCATGCTGTTTGTCATTTAAGCAACAGAATTTATTGACCATTTATGGTACATCAGACATTCTTTAAGGCTCTAAATATACAGCAGCGGGGAAAGCTTCAAGTTTTTGAGGGAAAAAGCCAGCACAGTCAAATGTGTACAAAATGTTCTTTAATGATACTGCTTTGTTGTTGTTGTTTGTCTCACTATGTAACTTTGGCTGGCCTGGAACTTTCTGTGTAGACCAGGCTGGTCTTGAACTCATAGAAGTCTGCCTATCTCTGCCTCTGGAGTGCTGGGATTAAAGGCTTGTAACACCACGCTCTACAATGAAACGAGAAAAAGTAAATAAAATC